GGCCCTCTAAACTAAAGGACAATGCTCAGCCCACAATGCCGCCCTGCCTCCAGAAACACTTTAAATTGGATTTCAGTCTAATCCGCGTTGTGTCTTTGTCTCTCTGTCCCCGGGTTTATTCAGATTTCAGAGGGTTAACTCCTCAATGGCCTGTGTTGGAGAGGCAGGGTGACAGGGGCTTCATATAGCTGAGCGATAAGCTGCTGAGACTCCACTGAACTGCAGTGGGAGGTTTATAATCAATGCCGGTGGATTTCCGTGGGGAGCAAGGCGGACTGAGGTTATGCTAACAGTCTGCTGTTTGTTAGTAGAGCTGGTGAGCCAGTTCCTCCTCACTATTAACCCCAGGGTTCATCGATTTCTTGTTGCAGGGACGTGTGCCCACACATTCACAGCCGTGTGTATGTGTGTGTGCAGCAGTATCACACACATAGACCGAGATGCACCTGTACACACACACACACACACACACACACACGCATGCAAGCAAGCTGTCGCCAGTGTTGACATGGTTGCGTTCCTCTGGGTCACCTGGGCAGTGGAGACCTGTCCCACGGTTGAGCTGTCAATGCCTGGACGGCTGGCTCGGGTAAGTGGCTGCGTTGCTGCAATGTAGTCAATAACCCCCCCGCCCCTGCTATTTAACAAGGCCTTTGCTACAGAGCCGGGTCAAACGCCTTTTCCTCTTCTCCGAGCTTTTGTTCCTGGCGCGGCCGGATCGATGGAACAAAGCTGCTGATACGCGAGCAATGGCCCCGCACAAACGTGCGTGACGGCGCTCGTTTCGTTCTGGTCAATGTGGAGGGAGTCACGGGTAGAGCTGCAGTTATGTTCCTAATGAGGAAGGATCTAAACGCTGGCCGAAGTGCCGATCTAAATGAAGTATCCAGTAGTTATCTACTGAGCTGGCACTTTGTAAACTCTGTTTTTTAAAAGTGCTACATAAATAAAGTTGTTCTTGGTGTTATGAGACCGGCTGTGCTGCGTGATCTATAAATAGCCCTCGTTGTGTTTTGTCCAATAAAGCTCCACAGTGAGCTGCCATAAAATGAGGCATACGTCGTTAAGTTATACAGAACAGGAACCAAATGAGAAGTTAAGACACTCAACCGGGGACTTAGAGTCATTATACATTATGATTGCATCTTGTTACGCCATCCAACAGCAGTAAGTCTCAACCCCCCAGTTTAATTAAAGCCGGTCACACGTATTGAACAATTGAAACCAACACAACTTTTGCCACGAAAATCAAACCAATTGTCATGTGAACACAGAAAAGTTGACCCTTGAACTGGTTCCAACAAGATAAGCCCAAATGCTGCCAGCATGCATATATATATAACGTAGTTATGGGTCTCTGGATGGTCTGCCTGGAAGTGAGAGCCCTGCCTGGGGGGCCCGAGCGTGGGCCGGTCCCCTCCCATAAGTGCCTCTCGTCACTGCATAGATTTCGGAGCCCTTTCATATTGTAATGGTCATGGTGGCCCGAGGCTGCGGCGCTAACCTTTTAGCTGAGTGGGACGCATTATTCCTGACACAATGGACACAATGCTCCGCTTTACGTCTCTCTTTCCCTCTTCATGCCTCCTTCTCGGCCGTCTTTTCACCAGCTCGGGAGTTTTCTTCCTTGATCTGCTCTTCCCCTCCAGCTCCCATTTGTCTCTCTTTAAAGATGCATTATTCCTCCTCCTGCATGCTCAATTAAACTATTCCAAACCTCAAATTTCTTTTTTTTTTTAAATGCAAATTTCTAACATAGTATGTAACTAGCTTGCAGCTGTATTTGCTGTGCCGTCTGTGTGTGCTCCTTCTGACTGTGCGTGCACCTGTTTGCGTGAGAGCGTGTGAGGCTGGTGATGCAGGTGCTGCATCCGCCTTTGAGCAGGTCGAGCGGGGGCTGTGTGAAATTGCGCAAGAGCCCCCACCCCCCCACCCGCTGGCGCTTGCCTGCGGGCTACTCTGCTTGTGTATCAGTGCCGATACCGTGCTGCACTTTCACCCGCCCACGAAGAGAACTCCATTATCTGCCACTGAACACCGCTGGCCCACTGCGCAAGGCTTCCTGCAGGGCGGAGTCAAAGATTCAGAGGCAAAAGGTGACAGAGCGGGGAGGGGAAGGGGGGGGTGTATAATATGTGGGTTTACGTTACAGCTGCTGCGGTGATAACTGCACTGTAGTCTTACAGTCCTGCAGAGTCCTGTGAGGCCCAGCCGAGCCAACATCAAAGGCTTAAACAGCAGCCCGCCTTTTTATGCAGGAGTGAGAGGAGGGCTAGGTGGGCTGGTTAATCAGGGGAGCAGAGCATACGCACACACATGCACACGCACCCACACACACACACACGCACACACACGCTCGCACGTACGCACAGAAATGAGAAATACACTTTGTGCATCCACAAAAATATGCATAAATATCCACTACGGTGCATTTACTTTGACACATCCTGTGCGCTCTCTAGCTCACAGGGAACAAACAGAATACTACACACACACACACACACACGCACACACACACACACACACACACACACACACACGTTCACAAAATGAATCGAAGCCACTGCACAAGGCCTGGAGGCCCTGACAAGTGGCCCAGGTGAGCTCTCTCTCTCTCCAAGCCCACTCCATTATGACGATCTCCACACAGGCACCCCGGCTAGAGCTAATTAACGGCCTATTACTATGCAGATATATTCAAGGCCAGGAGCAGAGAGCAGGCAATAAATGGGCTTGATGAACAAGAGAGGGGCAAGAAAAGGGAGGTGGAGGGGGATGGAGAGGGGGAAAGAGGGGTCGGGGTCGGGGGGGAGGGAGAGACGGGCAAAGAGAGGGATGGAAGAGGAGAAAGTAATAGGCAGACAAGAGGAAGGTGGGAAGGCAGAAGAAGAAAAGAGGGCCGGGGGGTCTAGAGGGAAGGATGGTGGCATGAAAGGGAACCAAAGCAGGACAAGTGCACTTCACACTCCTTATCACAAGTCGCTTGTAACGCTGGCGATTCAGGAATTGAAGGTCATGGACATAATCTGTGGTTTTGAGTTATAAACTGTGTTTTGGCCCGGGAAGTGTTCTTCACAGAGGAACCAGAGTCTAAATTCAGTTCCTTGTCCATATAGTTGATTTAATGCATTGCTGGGCTACTTTCTTATTATTCATGGTTCATTAGATGTATTGAAAAAAATGCACACAGGAAACCATACGAACACAAGACATTTTTGGAGACTAGTACTGTTTGGCTGTTTTTCTGTCCAAATATGTTGACTCCACTTTCCCTTTTTTCAATTATTTTCTTTAAGAGAAGATATGTTCATCTGGTCTCCAAAGAAAGAAGGAAAGAAAGAAGGGGGGGGGGGCAAAAATGGATTGTATTCTCATTTTAGGATATTTTAAATGATGTAAACATTAGGGGAGGAAGTAATGCAGTCATCAATCTACGCTTGGCAAGAGTAAGATAAATCCACTTTCGAGTATGCCGCGGATGCATTTTCATTTCAGGTGTATCGACACAAAGTGCAGATACCTAAATGAGAGATGAGAGTGTGTGCCAGGTGGAGGAGACTGGAGAGAGTGAGAGTGTGTGTAACAGTGAATCTCAGCGACTTCAGAGCCAAGAGTCATTTAGGGAATGACATTGTATTTATTTTCATTTAACCTTTATTTAACAAGGCAGGTCAATTAAGAACACATTCTTCATTCATTATTAGGCCCATCTCCCTGCTGCTCCGCTTCCTGCTCTTCTCTGCCCCTTCCCTCTTTGTGTAACTTCAACTGAAAATCGTTTAAACCACTGTTGAATCATTTTAGAAAAAAAAAACGTTTCTATGACTTTTATAGCCATTTAAACTCCAGGCCTGCATTTTGTTGTCTACAACATTAAACAAGATACGCTTTGAAGTACTTTTTTTTCTTACTTTTTAGGCATATAGCCACAAATTAGTGACTTTTTGGGCATATCAGCCCCTTTCTCTTAAATATATTTGCCAAAATGTCTCAATAAATGTGTAACTATTATCACTTGATTAACTGTTCATGAGTATATAATATTCACGAGGGTTTACTATGCGTTCTATGAAGTTTGTGTATTACAGGTAGCCTAGCTTTGGATGCATATTGAGTAAATGGTGACTTGAAAAGTAATTATAGCTAATAGTCAGTTATGTTTTGATTTCATTTTGTGCATTTAAAAAAAAAATGTAAACGTTGAATACTGTATGTAATTTGTTTGTAAATTAGCATATGATAGCATTTAGCAACATCTAGCTGAGCTGAAGCTAACGTTAGTGTCACAGAAAAGCAAAGATGCCTTGAAGGAAAGACAGCTTTAAAGCCCTGACTCCTCAAGCTCTTATCTCAAAGTTTATTAAAGGTGAAATGCTAAAACACTAGTATGACTAAAAAGCTAAGATTCGGACCACTGTCTGTCACCTGCCAGCTGTTGCTCACTTGCACTCCAACACTGCAGCTAACGTTTCTCTTATAGACTCACAAACACAATAAAGTTTCTTAAAAAAAGAAAAAAAGCATCTACTGAGGAGTATTAACTGTACAGCACCAGCACGCAGAGAGCAGATAACATTATACTGACAACAGCCGGTTCCCTTCACCTAATTAACGTTAATTAGCCATTAGCTACAGCTGTGTGTTGTCCTTGTAGCCAACGACTAAAACAACGATCACCTCTACAGCTCTTCAAGGTCTCATACTGTGAACATTGCAGTCTTAAAAATTGCAGTTTTGATAGAAAACAATTAATTGTTCAGCTCTAACAACTACAAATAATATTGCATCAACTGAAGTAAAAAATAATATCGACTTTGATTAATGACAAATTTCTACACCAAATTAGAACAGTCTCTTCAAAAAACGTGTACATCGTCTCTCCAGTCTCTCTCCTTCCCTGCTCTTCTTCCTTAAGCAACAAGTTCAGCCATGCATATACAAAAACAAAACACTAAACTAAATCTGCTCTCAAACCAGTGCTGAAAAGCCAATCGGTATTCCTATACTAAAATTAGGGGCAATTAATTTCCAAGAAACACGACTGACATGTTTTAGCCTCCCAAGCTTGGCTGCCCTTCTGGGTCTTGCATGGTTAGGAATCGATTTATTATTTCACTCACCGGTAGTCCCTTTATTACTTGAGATTTAATTAACTAATTGATTTGTAAAAAGCTTCATTGAATAATGAATTAGCAAAGGTTGCATGCCGTTCTCTCGGTTCTCCATTATAGGAGTTATTTGCAGGCCAATATTTTAGCATTATTGCTTTTGGGAGAGAACCACAGTCACCCTTCCATTGATCAATGCTTTCCACCAGCCTGCAGTCTGTTTCCTGGGTGTCGCACATATGCTGAGAAAATCTTTGTCACTCCTTCCATCCACTTCTAATTCCCCTCCACTCACACACAGCAGCAAACCCTTCATTTTCTTAATTTGAAAGAAAACACTTACGATTGGTGGACGCTGCAGTTGTAGAAGACAAAGTCCACGCTGGCAAACTTCTTCCCCGTCTCCTTCGACTTCAGATACAACTTTATAACACGTTGGTCACCTACGTACAGCCACAAAACACCATATTATCAGTCATTGTTTTTTTTCTTTCAACAGCCTTCCAATATTTCTGTAGTATACAATTAATATTATCATATACAATAAGTATATGGTTTCATGAACCCAGGATCATGCCCAGGCATTGATTCTGACATGTTAAGCCTGGAGCTGAATCAACGGAATTTGGTAGAGATGTTACCCGGTGGGGGAAGCGGTTCAGCTGCCCATCTACATTTATGGGTGTTGTGCAGTAAGTTCTATGAATCAGCAGTTTCTTATTATGGGAATCACAAAGAAATGGATGCCGTTAAAGAGCAGAGTGACTCGTGTTTCACACAGTTGAACGAACAGGCTGAATGAAGCAAACAATTCATATTTGTGCAGCATCAAACAGAACCGCTCAACCGAGAAGCCCACAATGAATTAAAGTCATCTTCTCTCCAAAACAAAAGGTTGTTAAGCGTCTGAAATGTCAGTTAAGTTTTTTGTATTTTTTTTTTACGAGAAAGTGCAATTGTTAGCAGGACTTATTTACTGTGATAGATATTTGAAGCCCAAACATGTTCAATATTAGATAAATAGATTGATAATTGTAAATAGTCATATAAATAAATTGTTTTGTGACAGTGGTGTTGTCACTGTCCTTCTGACCTTTCAGCCAATCACATGCCTCTTTAACAAACAAGCTCCACATTTACAACCAGAGTTAGCTAGTTAGCACATGTTATCTGTAGCAACATCAACATAATAGTAGTTCTATTGTAAATTAGCTTTAAGTTAACACACAGACTGAACTTCTCAAAGCTGTCATTTTCATTTAACTAGCTTAACATGGCCACAGAGGCTACCTACCTAGCTGGCTAACAAGCTAACTGGCTAGAAAAGGCTCAACAAAGTTTAAAAAGGTTTAGTTACTGTGTCTGTGCTGTGATTAATTACAGCTGTGGCCTTCAAATTGGTTCATTCAGAATAACTTTGACATTATTGTTGGTTTAGCTAACAGGAGCTAACTGGCTAGCGTGTTCTAGCTTTAAAGAGACAGGGTTTACATGATTAGCTGAAAAGCAAGGGGCTGGTGACTGCTAACAACACAACTCTCTGTAACATTATGAAAAGTGGCATTATGAAATAAAACTTGACAAGAAATAAAAATGTCTTTGGGAAAAATACCAATATGAAATAAAATATTTTGAAAGAACAAAGTTGAGAAAGTTCAAGTTAGAGATCTTGAAACTTCACTCCATAATTTTACATTTCCACAGATTTCTCACACTCTGTATTTTGGTTTTCTTGGGATATTTTTCTTCTTACCTTGGTCTCGTGTGATGGGGGACACGGCTTTTGTAGAAGGGGACAGGCAGAAGATCCGTCCACCATAGATGCGTCCTTCTGTCTCTACATAGTCCTCGAAGGAGCAGTTCACTCCAGCAGCCAGACTGGGAACATTCTGCGTCTGAAGTGACAACTAGGGGAAGGAAGGAAAGGAGAAAGGTGAGGGACAACATGACATTTAAGTCAATCTACTTTATTAGTGATGCAGTAAGCAAGACAGAAACGTCGGGTCAGATGTGGCTTTTCAGCTCAAACTCAAACTGATGGACAGATTGCCAGGAATGACTCAAGAACAAGCTATATTGGATTTAATTTCACATTTATATTGCTCACTTTGTCCCGTCCATCTTTCTCTCCTCCACTTACCCCCCGTCACACAAACGACATACACACATTCGCCGATACGCCAACACACTGTACCTGCACTTCCGACATGGTGACGGAGACGGTGTCGGGTTGGACGGAGAGTCGGACGCACTGCTCCGCTCTGGTGGTGAAACGCTGAGGCTCCTCTGCTCGTTCGCAGCGATCCTTCCTTGAACATCTGGAGGAGGACGACATACCGCGGTCACATCTCCAATCACAAACCTCATAGGTAAGATTCAATTCTGATTTCTTTAGTTTATCAAATCCACATTGATCCTATTTACTGATTGTTTAGGTTAGAAACATCTTGCTTTGTATCATGGGCAAAGTTATCTGGACAAAAGGTGGCATCAGCCGCTTCTCACTTAAAAAACAAAAATCCTTACTCACAAAGTTAACATTCAAGGTTGTTTGAACCGAAGTATCTATTGAACAGCTCCAGGATGCTGGGTTTCATGCAGAGTTATAAATAATTCAAAGGCTGTCTGTCATTATGGCAGATAGAAACAGTCAAAGCAGAGTGAGAAACAAATGTGGCATCGCGTTAGCTCAGGTAGAGCACTGAAGTCAAGCTTGCATTAGCTGATTGGCACCGGCTGTTCATTCATGTGCCCCCATCGGTGGCTCATTCATCAGCTGACTGCTAGCATCCAATCGTTTAAACGCAGGTGTACATGGTGGCCTTAAAACCTGACACTTCTCACTATTACCCTGATGACACGTCCATGCCAACCCTATGGCGTCAATGACTTTACCAAGATTCTATGTGTGTGTTTACCAGCTAGGTCTCATTCAGAACAAAGTCTGTGTAGAGGGGAGGACGGGGGGGAAAGTTGGGTTAAGAAACACAGGAGATCGCCTTTTCTCTGACAGATAGCTTTTTTGGAATTGGTACTCGTAATAATTTAAATGATACTGAGCCCAAGTAAGTTCGTTATGTAAGGTACTGAACTTGAGTCACGTCAAATTAAGTAGCCTACGTAATAACCACTCATTATAACCCAAATTGTACAGTGTGTTTCTGTTTGGTTTCTCAACAGAATCCTCGTTGCATCTCTGATTCTCTGAGACGTCCCTGATGGAGCAGAACCTTTCCCACTAAATCTAAACGTGTTATATAACTGTATTTGCTAAAAATGGTAATTTCATTGACACAAGTGTCTCAGACAGAATTAGCAGAACAGGTTAATGGAACCAGAACAAGAATCCAAGAAAGAAAGAAAGAAAGAATCCATCGACGCTGCTTGGAGTGTAAAGGGGTCAGTATGACTCGAACCTTGTGCTTGTCAGGTTATCAAACAGCATTTGAAGCCCCTCCCACCACAACTTTCTGATGTCAGAAACACAACGAGCACGACCACTTCGAGCAGTGAGGGTGAAGATATCGGCAAGGTTTGAACTTCCCTCTCAAGCTCTCCTTTTATGTTCTTCTTCCATCATTTTTAATACGTATAATCAGATCGTCCAAGTAGAGGTCTGTGCCCAATTCAATGACATTTTCTCCAGGTGTTCCTGAGACATCGCGGTCAAGTGAATGGACAGACAGGCGGACAGACAGGCGGACAGACAGCGGCCGTTGCCGGAATTGATAGAATCTCCATAATTCTGTCCGTCACCGTAACTGATTATCATGAACTGCAAAGCACGTACTTAATGTAACCACGGAAATTACTGCAAGAGTACAACATAGTGAACAGTATGCATGTACTTACACATTATGGAGCACACACCAGCCACAGTGAGGGTCCCCTGATCCCAGGCAGGCTCCACAGGAGCTGTACTGCTCACAGCTCTCCACCGGTACACGGGTGACCTGGAAATAAAACACACATACACACACCTGTCTGGTTAATATTGCACACCAGCGCCGCTGTGCACACCGCCTTCAAAACAGCTTAAACCGTATAGGTCTGGTGGACGCGGGATCTACCGGAGGTGTCCTGCGCCTGGAATATGAGATTAAAGGGAACAAGCCCACTGTGACTATCAGAGTTAAACAGCTCTGGACGTGCTGCTTATAGCTCCACGCTGTTGCATACGAGGCTAGCTAGAGGGGGAGAAGCAGAGGTTCAAACACATGTAAACACACACACGCATGGGTTCAGATTACACCCTGTGACAAACATCTCTTTGTGATACACTGAGTACTGCCCACAGTTCTCCAGTGGACCAGGGAACACTGATGCCAGCAAGCAGTTTAAGTCAAGAGATACTAAACATAATCTAGAAAAAGTAAATAGCTCACAACTGTTCGCTGAAATTAATCTGAAATATCTGGAAAACAGACTGGGCCTCCTGCTGTATTGATCATTTTCCGTTGTCGCATGTTGAAGAATTTTTTCCTCAATCACCTATTTTTCTTTCTTGCGTACAAATGAATTGAACTGAATCGTAACAGATTAAAATGGAAAGAAAGCTGGTCTGAGAGCCACTAATTGAAGGGGCACTATGAATGTTACACATTACGCTCTGTTTACTAGTCATGAGGATTAAATAAACAAATACTTGCGAAACTAATGGCATTCCATTCATATTCAGCTGTACTTAGTGTTTAGTGCTAATGTTAGCATGCTAATATGTTGAAATAAGGACAAGGTAAACATCTTTAAAAGCCGATCATCATACATATGTTAGCACCATCACTGTGAGCATATTAGCATGTTGATGTTAGCATGTAGCTCAAAGCCTCACAGAGCTGCGAGCATGGCTGTAAAGTATTAGTCTTGTTAATTAAAAGCCTGTGTTACGAATGAGGGGCACGGCGTTTGAAAGCATTAACCATGCAGGGAGGTTACATATATTAAAGATAAAGTTGCAGAAAAAAGTGTATGACCCAGCGTTTTTTGGTGACACATACTCAGGACCGAAAGTCATGGAATCTCTGCCTCTTTTTTGACCGTTCCTGTCTCTTGAAAGTCCCCCAAATGTATGGATGATAACATGAAAGTGTCCCTTTAAGGCCTTTTAATGAAGCTATGAACCTATTTTGTCTTGCTTAGAATTCACTATCACAAATTTCTACCTAGGATATCCCTTGAAACTTTGTAAATGAATAATAACAATATGTTCTTCCAGCTGTCAAAAATTGAGCAAAGGTAATACTTAATCTACAATAACATTTTTTGTAGTTTTTGACACTGACACTTACAGACGGTAGACACATTTCTGCACTAGAACATAAGAATCATATCAGAACATAAAAGGACTAAGTTTGCTTAATATCAGTGACTCCCTTGCAAAGAATATTCTATTGTCCATAACAGCATCGAGATAAGCATCGAGGGTTACTCCTTTTGTCTAAATCTCTACCGGCTGCCATCTGTGTGTCTGCATGACTAAGATAAGATGAAACTTTAATGATGTCTTTGGGGAAATTGGAGAAGTTGGGTATTAACAAGGACATCAAACAGTGCTGTCCAAATGTACCTGCCTCTTAAACTTCCAAGTGCAGAAGAACAGGAACATAAGGGAGGGGAGGCTGAGAGGAATCATCATTTCACAAATTCATTTCCACAGACAGTTGTCTTTGCACTGGTCATTAAACAGACACGTGTTCTGCCGCTGCATGCACTTTCACCATCCGCCATCTGTCTGCACGATTAACAGGAAGAGTTACCCCGAATTTCACCCAGGTTGTAGAACACTCGCCGGGGAATTACCCATAAAGCGGGCAATATTGAAACGCTTTAATCATACCTGTGCACACTCGGGCATACTCTCTTAAATCTCAAAAATCACCAGTCTATCAGACAGACGGATTGGCAGACATAAAACTGCCTCAAGCAAACACACACACACACACACACACACACACACACACACACACACACACAGCAGCGATAAAGTCACAATTTTGGACCAAATTCTGAGACAAGTTTTTCTGGGGCAGTTGTTAAATACTTAAATACATCACTGACCACCCAAGACATGCACACGCACGCACCACCAGCTGCCTCAGTCAGGTGAAGTACGACATCAATAACACTGCAGAGGCAGGGGGCACACCGGGTGAGCAGGAAGGTGCTGAGGGTGAATTCTAATGGCAGCTGCAGGCGCAGCAGTGTAGAAACCTTCAAAGTGGAAACTCTTCCCCTATTTTTTAAACTTCTCAACCTTCAAACAGCAAATCAGGCTCTTTTAATGTCCTTTGCCTGAACTGCTGCATGATTAATCAGACACTAATGTGTATGTTGGTTTTCACGTCACTGTGTACTTCAGATATGCGCTTCCATCAGGTGACTCCTACAGTCCTTCTGCACAGCCACATTAGTATACTAGTGCGGCTCAAGTCTTCTAAGGCTGAAACATCTCTACAACTATAGAGACGGAGCGCATTTAAGTCCCGCCCACACCGGAGGGGAAAACAATTCATCCCTCTCCATTGACTTTGTATTGTGTGAAGTCACTTTGTCACTGCTAGCAAACAACATGCCTAAAAGCTGCTGTGTGGGGAGGGGGGGCACCACCAACAGGGTAAAGAACCCAAAGCTACGTTTTTATAAGCCGCCGAAACTAAAAACTGAGCTTCTTAAAAGACAAAAGTGAGGTATCAGCAGGAAGAATGAGAAAACTGGGGGATCCTGACACGTGGGCTCTAGAACTGCTTTGAATGGGGTGGGTGAGGGGCAGTAAGAGATGTTGGTAGTCACAAATGACTCATGTTAACATCCATCCATCCATCCATTTTCCTCCGCTTATCCGGGGTCGGGTCGCGGTGGCAACAGGCCAAGCAGGCTGACCCAGACTTCCCTCTCACCGGCAACATGTTCCAGCTCATTCTGGGGGATCCCGAGGCGTTCCCAGGCCAGCTGGGAGATGTAATCCCTCCAGCGTGTTCTGGGTCTTCCCCGGGGTCTCTTCCTAGTTGGACGTGCCTGGAAAACCTCCAGTGGGAGGCGTCCAGGAGGCATCCTAATTAGATGCCCGAACCACCTCAGCTGACTCCTTTCGACGCGAAGGAGTAGCGGCTCGACTCCAAGCTCCCTCTTGATGACCGAGCTCCTTACCCTATCTCTAAGGCTGAGCCCGCCACCCTATGGAGGAAGCTCATTTCGGCCACTTGTAACCGCGACCTTGTCCTTTCGGTCACGACCCAGAGTTCGTGACCATAGGTGAGGGTAGGAACGTAGACCGAGTGGTAAATTGAGAGCTTTGCCTTCCGGCTCAGCTCCCTCTTCACCAAGATGGTCCGGTGCAGCGCCTGCTTTACTGCTGCAGCCGCACCGATCCGTCTGTTGATCTTCCGCTCCATCTTACCCTCACTCGTGAACAAGACCCCAAGATACTTGAACTCCTTCGCTTGAGGTAGGCACTCCGTCCCTACCTGGAGGGAGCAATCCACCGGTTTCCGGCAGAGCACCATGGCCTCAGATTTGGAGGTACTAACTCTCATCCCCGCCGCTTCACACTCAGCTGCAAACCGCCCCAGTGAATGCTGGAGGTCACAATCCGAGGAGGCTAACAGGACCACATCATCTGCAAACAGCAGGGAGGTGATCCCGAGACCCCCGAACCTGACGTTCTCCACCCCCAGCCTGCGCCTAGATATCCTGTCCATGAAAGTCACGAAGAGGACCGGAGGCAAAGGGCAGCCCTGGCGGAGGCCAACACCCACCTTGAACGTGTCTGACTTATTGCCGAGAATGCGGACACAGCTCCTACTGCAGTCGTACAGAGACCGGATCGCCCGTTGTAATGGGTCCGGCACCCCATACTCCAGCAGCACCCCCCACAAGAACCCCCGAGGGACCCGGTCGAAAGCCTTCTCCTTTTGCACATGTAGACTGGTTGGGCAAACTCCCAGAACCCCTCCAGTAGTCTTGCGAGGGTAAAGAGCTGGTCCACTGTTCCACGGCCGGGACGGAATCCGCATTGCTCCTCTTGTATCTGAGGTTCGACAAACGGTCGGAGCCTCCTTTCCAGCACCCTGGCATAAGCCTTCCCCGGGAGGCTGAGTAGTGTGATACCCCGGTAATTCGAGCACACTCTCCGGTCCCCCTTTTTGAAAATGGGAACCACCACCCCGGTCTGCCAGTCCATGGGCACTGATCCCGACCCCCATGCGACATTGAAGAGGCGTGTCAGCCAGGACAGCCCAACCATGTCCAGCGCTTTCAGCATCTCAGGGCGGATCTCATCCACCCCCGGTGCCTTGCCACCAAGGAGCTTTTTGACTACCTCAGCGGCCTCTGCCATGGATATGGGTGAGCCTCCCCCTAGATCTTCAGGCGCTGCCTCCTCTGCAGAGGACATGTTGGTCGGGTTTAGGAGTTCCTCAAAGTGCTCTTTCCACCGCCCGACGATGTCCCCTGTCCGGGTCAGCAGTTCCCCCCGCCTGCTGAGAACAGCCTAGGGTAAGCCCTGCTTTCCCTTCCTGAGCCGTCGGATGGTTTGCCAGAACCTCCTTGAGGCCAACCGAAAGTCCTTCTCCATGGCCTCCCCGAACTCCTCCCATGCCCGAGTTTTAGCATTCGCGACCACTGCAGCTACAGCCCTTCTGGACTGCCGGTACCTGTCAGCTGCTTCGGGAGACCCCTGGGCCAACCAGGCCTTGAAGGTCTTCTTCTTCAGCTTGACGGCTTCCCTCACCTCCGGTGTCCACCACCGGGTTCTCGGGTTGCCGCCACGACAGGCACCGATGACCTTCTGGCCACAGCTCCTAGCGGCCTCGTCCACAATAGAGGCTTTGAACATGGTCCATTCGGATTCCATGTCCCCAACCTCCCTCGGGATTTGAGAGAAGTTCTTCCGGAGGTGGGAGTTAAAGACCTCCTGGACAGGGTCCTCCGCCAGACATTCCCAGTTCACCCTCAC